GTGGACACCTTCACCCTCATTCACCACGATCTCGAGATATCCACTAACCCCGTTCAGTACGCTATGATCCTGGACATCGTCAACAACCTGTTGTTACACGTGGAGCCCAGACGCAAGGTAGGCTGGAGCACCAGATGGCCAATGATCCCAATTCATAAAACATGTTGTGAGTCCTTAGTGATGTTTCCTCCTTACTCATTGTGTGTTGTTGTTTTTTTTAATCTTCTGGACATGTAGGAACACAGTGAGAAAAAGCAGCGCGTGCGTTTCCAGCTGGAAATTTCCAGTAACCCTGAGGAGCAGCGCAGCAGCATCTTGCACCTCCAGGAGGCAGTCAGGCAGCACCTGGCCCTGATCAGACGTGTTGAGAAACAGATTTACTCCAACATCAGGGTGAGTCACATGGTGCTGTACTCCTTAAGTTGCAACTGAGAGTTTATCTGGAAAACAAACAAAAGATTATTTGATTCAATTTGAAGGCACAATCTGAAGAACTGTACGGCGATGAACTGATGGAGGTCAACACAAGACTGCAGAACCAGCTAAATCAGGAGAAGAACGACATGCAGATGAAGAGTGAAGAGCTCAACATCCTCATCAGGTCTCGCATGCGCACGGATTCACGTGAAATACTGACCGGAAATGTCGCACAGGTCGAGAAATGTTATATTCTCTGTCTTTCAGGTGTTTTAAGGACTTTCAGCTGCAACGGACAAACAAGCTGGAGCTGCGTAAGCCCCCGGAGGATGTGAGTGTGGTGAGGAGGACGGAGATCTACTTTGCCCAGGCCCGCTGGTGTCTCACCGAAGAGGACGGCCAGCTTGGCATTGCTGAGTTGGAGCTGCAGAGGTTTATGTACAGTAAGGTAAGCGCTGCAGACAGGACGGCAGAACCGCTTCTTATCGGCTCTCATGTCCTCTTTTACTATTTGCACTTCAGAAAAAAACGTTCCCTCTGTAGCTCTCATTTACCCTTTTCTAGCGTTCTGTATTTGAAGAACCATCTTGGGATAACAAGAATATAGATCACATCTATACTATAACACAATGTGCAGCACAATATCCTAAGATGTCTCACTCCTCTCACTGATAATGAATCACTGCTGGATGGTGAATGTTGATGAGTGTGAATACTTTACTTACCACAGCTAAACAAGTCTGACGACACGGCCGAGCATCTGTTGGAGTTAGGGTGGTTCACGATGAACAACCTCCTGCCCAATGCATCATACAAGGTACAGTTCTCTCTCATTATACAGACAAGGCAAAATAATTTGATTTTAATAACATTTTAGCCTTAAAGGCAGGGTTGGTAATCTATGAAAATGATCAAATGCTCTGACAAAAACAAAATCCAGGCTCAAGGATCATTTTTAAAACCTTGTGTACTCTTGTTAATTGTATTAAGATAGCCAACCCTGCCTTTAATTATACAACAAAATGCAGTGACATCCGTGACAAACGTCCTTTTGATGCTGACATGTATTTTCCAAAAAGCCTCCACTATGCGCTATTTATGACTCTCTGCCTGGTTTCCTCTGTGCAGCGTGTGAGGGTATGTACAGTGCTCGTACAGTGACAAGACTTGACGTCTGTGTTGACTCCATCTTCAGACTTTCATACTCAGTGTTGCATGTACACTCACGGATTCCTTGATGCATGTGTGAACAAGGACTCATTACAAGTTACGTTAACTTGGTGGTGTTGTCCATACTGTGTTCATTCCATCATCGGTGCCGTTTAAAGTCAAACTGACATCAAAGTAGCGTCTTCACACCACATCTGACGAGAGCTTTATTTTGTGATGTCTCATTAACTCCCTTTTGGTTTTACAGGTTGTACTTCGTCCTCAGAGTAACTGCCAGTCGGGGCGCCAGTTTGCTTTGCGTATCTTCAGTAAAGTGCGCCCCCCTGTGGGAGGAATCTCCGTTAAGGAGCACTTTGAGGTGACGAGTTTCACGCCGCACATGCAGCCACATTCACGGAGAACATCTGGATTGTGTTTTTTTTATTTGAGCGATTTGTTTCCATCACCAGGTGAACGTGGTGCCTCTCACCATCCAGCTGATGTACCAGTTCTTCAAGAGGATGATGGGATTCTTCTTCCCAGGAAGAAATGTTGAGGAGGAAGAGGTCACTGATGAAGAGGACAAGTTCAGATTGGTTACTACAGGTGTGTGTTGTCAACATGACGGCAGTCAGCTGAGTAGCACTCAGTCTGCAGTCTCTCTGTGGGGTCACCAGCCTGTAATCTAACCAGCTGATCAGTAATAGTTTCCATTGT